GTAGACCTTTTCGAGCGCAGCGCGAGAAGATTTGCCCAATGATACTGTATGACGTTAATAACTAATCAGCATACAACCGGTGCCACGGAAAGAACTCACATAATATCGCAGAGTTGAGCTCCTCTGCCACCGCAAGTCGACCTTTCCTATCCAGCAGGTGTGCAACGTCCTTCTCCTTGAGCGGGTTTGCGTAGGCAAGGAGCGCGTAGATGTCCGCCAGGTGCTTCGTCACCTCTCGCCTAGGGTCGTTCTTGAACTCGGCGTGAAGCTCCTGACCGTAGAGCAGAGTTGCTATCTCGAGCTCGTTGATGTCGACAGTCGGTTCGTTGGAATCCTCAGTGTCCATCTGATCCCAAGCGCCGTTCTCGTTGCCATTAGCATCGAGATCCATCGCGCCCAGGTCGCCGCCATGGCCGTTGCTCTTCTTGGACTCTGACGCAGCCCTCATCTCAGCCGCCGTTCGGACCATCTCGATGAACTTGCGACAGCGCAACCGGAAGTAAACCTGCTCGTTATCCTTGAGAACTTGGGGATAAAAGGCGTTGGTGTGCTTCAGCGCCCTGTCGATGTCGCCTTCCAGCACAGCTCTCCTAATTCCTGTGTGTTGTCAGCATATAGACGATTTCCTCGCCAGAAACTTGACGTACTTTGCCGCTTGTTGGCATGCTCGTCGTCCTTAACATTGATTCCCTCAATGGGAGCATTCGGGTCGAGACTGAGTGCCTTCTTTTCCGCGTTAATTTCTTCCGCGAATGCCCTCGCAGTTTCCACATAACCGTCATGCTGCAAGAACTGAAGGACGAGCGCCTGTATCAGTTCTGTCTCGTTCATCGCTGGCGCTAAGCTTGCTGTACTTGTTTCCGAGATTTCCCTCCGGATACGTTCTTTTTCTTTCTGTGGTCCCAGAATCGTTAGTGATGTTTCCCTCAAGGCTAACGAGGATCCCGTGTATTGACATCGGAGTCAGACACCGATGCTGTATATCCACAGTAAAGCACGGCTGACAAGTGCCAATAGCGCGTGTTACTGAAACTCGAGACAGAGAATAATCGGAGGCAGAACAGCATGGCAGTAATAAGACAACCAGAATGTAGAAACATGCGGGAGTAGAGGTGAGGGAAAGGACAAAACTGACCGTCATCATGCCCTCAATGTCGAAAACAAAGGGCGTTTGACCGAAGTTGACACGAATGTGCTCTCCTGACTTCTTGAGACCAACTGTTGGATAGAGGCTACTGCCCTTTCCAATTTCGCGGAAAGCGGTACCTAGAAAAATGAGTTTGTCATCAATAGAGGTGAGGGACTGGGCTGCAATCCAGACATACCCAACATGTGGCCGTTCTTTGTGAAGAAGGCACAGCCAGTGCGGAAGTTGACACCACAGCCGATCACATCAGGTGCAGTAAATGGAGGCCCATAGTTCTTGCCGCCATTCTGCCCAGCGTAACAGTGTCCATCGTCGCTGTGGTAGCCCCACGAGTCTGGCTCCCAGCCCGGGGGTCTTGAGAGGGCCACAGTCTTGGCCGAGAACCCGATGCCAATCGTCATGCTAACCAATCGTCAGAATACTCGTCACAGACCCCACACCAGAGGTCATAACCTACTCATCTCTTTTGCCTGACAAAACCTGGACTTCGAAATAATAGATACCGCACTGCGGAGGCATCGGGTTGTCCGCACGTATACTGAACGCCTCATGATCCCGCTCCGTCTGGCCCCGGGGCCCAATGTAGCGAACTTCGAGCCCATCTGAAAGAATATCGAGAGCACCGTACTTGTCGTCCCTGTTCCACCTCGTAGGTAGTGGGGTAAACGCCTCATCGTCCTCGAATGCTGCAGTCTTCTCGATGACGTCGTAATTCACTCCTCGGTGCGAAGCCGGCTTACTGTGAAGACTGACGCTGCTCGCGCTCGTCGTCAAGTTTCCACCGGGCTGTGCCTGGGCCGTCTGGGACTCCTTCTGCGCCTGTACCTTTGCAAAGTGCGCCTCCTCTAGCCGCTGTACGTATGTCGATCCAGTCAAATACGATGGCACGAAGAAACCGCCGTGTCCGCTTGCGCCGCCTGGCCCTCCGTTCTCGCCCGAAGGGTTCGCCATAAACATATCAAAGACCCTCGAAAAGGACGGCAGATTGTTGGCGCCCCGCGACAAGCGCGCAGACGTGCCATTCAGACTGGCGCCGTTCCTGTCTGCGTCCATATCGCCGCCCCTGCTCGAATCGTGGTAGGCCGAGGCCGGTTCGAAGGTGATGTCGTCGGAGTTGTTGAGGATCTGAGAGATGACCGAAGTTCGGCCGGGGTGGGAGAGGTAGGGCGGGTTATAGTTTGGTGGTGCTCCGGAAGCGACTGAAGCGTAGGAGAAGCGGCGCGGCAGAAGACCAGAGCTTCCCGTAGGTGTGTTTGATTCCGTGTAATGTGCAGAACCATGGAACGGGTTCGTCATGGTGAGGGGTCGAGGTTCGTGGAGGGGTTGACCAGCTCGCGCACCCGTGACGTCTCGTACGCAAAGAGGAGCTTCGCAATGCCCCCGAGAAGCCGCAGTCCGAGCTTCTTAGGATGAGGTGACCAGTGGCAGGCGTGTCTCTGTCTGAGTACCGAGTGATTGGGGTCTCGAATGGGTCTAGAAGGGTGGTCGGTCTGAGTGACGGGACTCGAGTCGGGGGTCCAAGGAGCAATCGAGTTCGGAATTGCGTGCTAAGACGGAGGTTCAGATCGGTCGAGAGGCACTACTATGATGTGGGTGTGGAGATGGTTTGCCGGGTAACGGTGAAGTGCCTTAGTCAAGGTTCATTCCGGTGTAGCAAAGGAAGTGAAAAACAGCCGCACGAGACGAGTCGTTCGGAGGAGGAGGGGCTAAAATGCTCCGCTGGACAGCTCGATTATCATGATAACGCAGTGATGAGAGATCGGAAGATGGGGGTTGAGTGAGGTCAGGTCGGGGTGCTATCGCTATGTGGAGTACGTGAGCGGCACACAGGTGACAGCGTGAGGTGAGGTACCGGCAAGGAGCGGGATTGCTGGCGAGGTACCTTACGTGAGTCGGGGAAGAACAGGGCCAGGCAAGGTTGTTGTTGTTGGTGGTGGACGGAACGTGTGGAGTGTGCAGGTGCGGTACGATGCGGTGCAGTGACGGAGGTGAGGTCCAGCGCGCGGACAAATGATAGGCGCCCCCGGGTTCAGACTGGAGAGTGGCCTGGTGTGCTGGAGGGTTTGGTATGGCTGAGGTGAGGTGCAGTGCAGTGCAGTGCAGGTCTGGGCTGGGCTGAGCTGCTTAGTTGGGTTGGCTTGGCCATGTTCCGCCCGAGCGTGTCCCACCCGTCGTCCCGGTGCAAAAGCCCACGCCGCTACTACCTATGAAGGCATAGACAATCACGAGAGCAGGTCACTGTGAGAGGCTAACCCGCCAGTTGAGGCGCCAAACGGGGTAGCCAGTCGCAGCTTGGAGCAGAGCAGCCGCAGGATCCCCCCCTACTGCAGGCGAGACTTGTCAGGGATCATTGGCACGGTGCTATCGGAGACTAGCCTGGCCAGTTACTGTGTAGGCCGTATGTAGACTCCAGACTCGAGATATCCGTAGAATGCAAGACTCAAGAGTGTGCCCGTGGACTGTCGAGAGCAACCTAAGAGTGTGTTGCGCTTGTCTTGGAAGCGAAACACGCGGCTCCCCAGAAGGAAGCATCTCCGGATTGTGGTTCGCATTATGACGGGGCTGTTTCTGCAGGAACTGGGTCTCTGTTACAGTACCTAGGTGAATAGGTAGGCGGAAACGACCTGGCCATCATATTTGATACATTGATGAACAAAGAAGTCCTTGGGTACGGTCGCCGAGGCGGCGTTCGTTGCAAGCCTTCAAAGAATGGGAATGCAAGTAGAAACGTTGTCGTCATGCAGTCAAGGAAACACTGTGCTCCGCTGCCGGGGAACAGCGGCCAACGTGCCAGCCACAGCCTGCCAGGTGCCCAGGTGCCTGCCTGCCTTTCCATCCAGGTTGTCTGGACTCCGGCGCGAGTGCTCCAGCTCTCCACCTTACCTAAGCCAGATCCTCCACGCCCGATCCGACGCTTACATAATGTCACGTGGCCGGCACCAACCACCAACGTCCCTTTTCCCGGCCTCCTCCATCACAAAGAGGCAAACGAATCTTGATGGGGGAATCATGAAGGGAGGGACCAGTGCTTTTTTTTTTCCCGCGCACTTTCTCCCGATGGTGGGTTCCCACATGTCTCGCTGAATCGCATCAGCAACCTAACGCCCATCCATCCGTGCCTACCTTCCCTCACCGACAGTCACACCCAGTATCTCCATCTCCATCATCACGGTTCTACGATGCACTTGGTCCAAATGAGTAAAGAGTAGGTAAGACGCTGACCGCTGCGGCATGGCCAAGGATTGCACCAATTATCATGTGCAGTGCATACATACTCTACCTCTTCGGTTTCCAGCCTCCACGGTGTCTTCATCTTTCCCAACCAAAGCTCCTCAGCTGAGAGAGCACTTTGCGTCCATGCCTCATCTCCGGTCCAAGTGGGACTTTTCACATCCGAGGGTCTCGGCAGTGGGCACAACCTTACCAACTAATCCAGCCGGCTCCCTTTTACCGAGTCGAGCCACCTTCAATCACCGTGCATTGTGCACTCAAACTGAGTCGAACGCTTATGAACTGGTTGGAATGGCATCAATTCTATAGCCGATAGTCGTACCATGCATGCGCCAACTTGATAGTATACACTCTGTGCCTGCCCAGGCAAACGCCGTAATCCCCATGGCAGCTACCGCGCTGAACCATGATATTGTGTTTCCGTAACGCCGGCGAGCTAATGCTCCGTGATGACTCCCATCCAAAAACTGCATCGACCATTCAAGCCTTGGTCAGATGTTGCAATCATTTTCCCTCTTGATCCTTAAAACTCCCAAGCTGTTTGGAACATGTGTCGAGGGCCCTCCTCGACGTTCCAACGAGCCCAAACACACAAGAGATATCGCAAGCAAGGACGCAGCTACTACGCGGCAGAGATGGCCATTGGGGCCGGAGAGCTAGCAGGAACGCTGCCGGGCGCGCTCCGCATCTCGACGTCGGCGCCGCTGTTGACGGCACTATTGGCGTCGCTTTTAATCTGATCATTCTCCTTGTTCTCCTTGGTGCTGCTGTCGGCTGAGGCGGCGGCAGAGTCCTCAGTGGTGGGCTCGGGCACGAACTTGGGCGGCGCGGTCCATCGAGGAACCTCCCAGACGATACCTGTGAAGCTCTTGAGGACGAAACCACCCCTCGCCCATTTGCGGCAGGGTTTGCCGCTTCGGTCGAGAGCTCGAAGGCCGGCGTTGATGGCACCTTGGTTGGCCTTGGGACCCAGCTTATGTCCAGCAGCGCCACCACGGGCATTCGGATCGATGGTTCCATCCTCACTACATGATATCATTAGCAAGGAGTCAACGTAGGCAGCGGGCAAAATGGGTATACACACAGTCTCGCCTTCTTCTTGGGGCCAGGCTTGCCGCGGACCTTGGGCTGTCCATCAGGGCCGAGACCATTGGCAGCACCAGCACCACGCTTGGTACCCTTCTTCTTGACTCCCTCGGTAGGAGGACCCATGGATGTAGGTGCTGGAGTTCCATCGCCAGCGGGCGTGCCGGGATTTGAGTCGGACGCCGTCTCGCCATTTGCGATGGCAGGAGCTGCCAAGGTGGCCGATGTGGCGGGAGAATCTTGCGCTTCTTGAGTCTCCTTGTTTCCATTCGTCTCCTCAACATCCATCTTGACGGGGGAGTCTTCCTTTACATAATCGGGATCAAGGGTCCGCTTCAATTTATCGGCGTCGACAGTCAGGGTGATAACGAGGCCGCCCTTGCCTCCATTGGACTTGCGTCGACTGACGGATGCGGTAGGTGCCATTTCGAGATGGATTTGGGCGTGTTGTGTGATGATGTATTGGGTGGTGAGGGCGAGGTTTGGTCCAGGGCGGAAAGGATGGGTGAAGAGTTGGAAGATTGGCGGCGCGGCGTCAGGAAGCTTAGTAGGTAGTAATGGCTTTGTCGGAGATAGCTGCTTTGATGGATGGGGTGGCGGACGGGCCGGGGATCCAATGGGCCACGAGTTGTGATCTGGTGGGTAAAGGACTGGGCAAGGTTTTGGGCGGTGGTGCGTGTTGGGTTGGTTTTGGTGGTGAGCTGAAGCGGTGCGGGTTCAGGTTCTCCTGGGTGCGGTGCGGTGCGATCTGTCTCTCTCGTGGGTGGCAGATTATTTCGCGTCGGCGACTCGCACAGTCGACGGCGATGCGAGGCAAGGCGGTGATGGCGATGGGGGTTTGGCGATGGATGGAACGGGAGGGTGGAAGGGTTGATGAGAAGGGGGACAGAGAGAATTTTTATTTTATGGGGGAATCCATCTGGTAAGTTTGGCGTCTCATTTTCGAGAGAGCGCCAGAGCAGGCGGCGTGACAATAAACGGTTCTCATGCTGCCTGGGTTGGGTGCGCGGTGGTGCTGGGTGCGTGGTGCGTGGTGCTGGGCTCCCGTTTCTCTCTCACCCGCGCTCAAGAATTGACCTCCAGCTTTCGCTTCCTCTCGCGCACCTGCCACCAGCGCCGCAGTTGTGGGTAAGCGAAAGGAAGACCCGACCAGTAATCTGGGGGGGCCGTGACCGGAAAGGGATGCACGGGTGGATTTTTCTCCCCCTTCCAGAAGTACAAAGGTACATACCATACATCGGGGCACGCAGGATGTATACATCCATCCATCCAACATCTCACCCAAGGTGAGGTCCCTCAGAATCCAAGGGAAGCCGCAAGGTAAAGTTTCGTTCGTCCTCGTCATCCAAGCATCTTGGGCCTTTGTGACCTAATCATGGTTCATGGTCCAAGTACCTAGTTACCGTTTTACGTGCAGCTGTCTGGGACTCTGGGCATCCTACCTACCTACGTTAAGGTACCTTGAGGAGTACGGAATACCTACCTTATCCAAGCACAAACTTGAAGTGAACACTCATGGAAGGGTAACAAGGCAAGATACGTACCCCGGCACCCTCCGTCCGTCGGCCGGGGGCCATCCACGCACCGCGCTCCCTCACGTCAATCAATCCCGACACCAGGGCCACCAAAAACGTGGACTTTCCGTGCTTGCTCTGGCTTACCTAGTAGGTGGTTTGACGATGCGTGTGGAAGGCATGCCGGGCTACCTATCTGTCTTGCTGCATTTTGCACCAGTTTCTTTGATTGTGCCCTTCCAAGTGCCCCTTTCCCCCATTTCGCCATCTGACCTCCCGTCACCTCAGGCTTCAGAAGGACGTTCGGGATGAGAATGGAAGCTCACCTCAGTAATATCCACTCCAGACACACACATGCACACGCACACACCCACCACACCTTCCTTCCTTCCCCCTCTTCCCCCCTTATTGCCTTCATCTCTTCTCGTCACGACCGTCCGTAATGATTCCCGTCCTTTCCCCGGCCCAGTCCTTGACTTTCCCTCACGTTCTGCGCATCTCCGTGCCTCAGGCGGACGTCCATCATCTATCCCCATCCTCCCAACCATTCATCCCGACTCCTTCAATTGCCAGGCCAAAGGCGAAACACTTGACTTTCACACCTCGCGACAAGGTCCAGCAGTCTATTACCCATTTAGGCAACGCTTGACTCGAAGATTGACGATAGAACGCTACCTTTGCATCTCTCCACACAATACGTTCCCAGTAATTCACCAGCTGATGATCCATGACCCTTTCAGACTTTATGTACTATCGCAGATTATTTCCCTCAGCCTTCAGCTCCATGACACAATCAGCCCGCCTTGGTCGCTGGGCATTCGGCACATTATCTCATCCCGCTCATGAGCGATAGATGCATCCTGCACCACGCTTCCAGCACATTTCTTCTTCCGACCTTTCCCACGCGGTACTATTATTTCTAGACCAATTGAGAAGGCTGCCAAAGACTGCGATTGCGAATTTGTGCGAAAACGCCATGCAAAAATAATCACTGCGGGATCTACGGGTTGTCCGTACTGGCGGTGGCACGAATGGGTCGGCGAGCGAGGATCAAGGCGATAGAAATTCAAGTCTCAAACTAACAAATCCTCATCAGATCCGATGGGCCCAGGTCTGCGCTTGGCCGGCGCACTACGTACGATACTTGTCCAGGTCGGCCCAGAACTCTGAATTGGTGATGGCGACCTGCAGGCTTCCGGCCGAGCCTGGAATCCCCTTGGATCCCTCGTTGGGGCTCGAACCTTAGTCACCCTGGCATCTCTCTTGTCATCATTTCGCCTTCCAGAAGCAATCCGTGTCCGCCGCATCAGAAGACCATGGACGCTGATGGACAGTTTTGAGCAAACGAGGTGACGAGCTGCGTGTTCTACTTTATCAACACCAGTAGTCATGATAGGATGTGCCTGATGCCATTGCACTCCATGCGCTGTGAGGAAAGGTCCAGCAGAACGACTGCCAGGCCGATCCGGGATGGGCACCTTGCGACCGCCGACTGCCTGCACCACAACCAAATTGGATCCTCTACGGGCTTTGATAAGAAGGGTTGATTGCTGGAGGCACCTCCCAACCAGCCTTCCTCATTTCGACACTAGATAGGTCACGAACGAGGGCATTTCACGTCCCACGATGCACTTAGACGGACCGTTTAGTCTAAGGTTCTTCTGGCATCATGAATTTTCAGCGACAAAGATATATGTATGCGTATTAGTACATCAGCCTCTCGACCAACTGCGTCCGAGAGAACCTCGTGAGACTGGACCTCGGGAAGCCCTAATAATTGAAAAAAGGGGGGCCAGCGAGAACTTCCGCGTCTGCCATGGCCTCACTTCCCTGTCAAATGGGTTCGAAAAAATGCTTCCAACCCCAACTTCAATCCCACATGGCGAGAGCCAATCGTGCTTCGAGATCCCAAACAACCCATCCCGAGACCAGCAGAAGTGGAAGGCCGGGTGGTGCAAGCCTGAATGGAAATGAGGTCAGAGCTCAGCTCCGATCAACCTGTACAAAAACGTACAATGCCACACGAGTGAAGGAAGAAAGGCTCCCCCGTTTCACAGCACGCCGAACCTGGTCATCGCCAGTCCAATGACGCTTCTCCAACGAAGTACCATTCAACCGGCGTGTTTCTAGCCTTCAACCACCTGGCAAGCTGTTGGTGGAAAGCATCTGGTGCCAGCAGATACCTGAGAAAGGCAAGAAAGTCAACCCGTACGATGAAGTAGATTGCGTCGTTTCATCAGATCCGTGCAGCCGCTGTTGACTATCATCAACGGCACCCCCCAAGGCCAAGATTTATGCGGTCTCAACTGCCTTCTCAGGATGATTGAGCTGCTCCGGGTGCCGAGCGTCGCCCGATAGCGGATCATCGCCACTGACAGGAAGCGGAACCTGCATCGTCACCATTCCAAAGCCAAGTTTGTGCGTGCATCCTCGAATTCAATACCGCGCGTGCAGCGCTCCACAACCAGGAGAACATCTTCTGGCGGCGGCACATTCGTCACCACGGCCAGTCTAGCCGTGCGATTGTCTCCTCGTCCCGATCAACCATCGCCGCCGCAAGCCACGGAAAAGACCAAAGAAGGGGATAGTGACCCAAATTATGGATTGTCCGATTTGCAAATTGCCTACTTTAGTATTGGACGTCGATTCTTGGAAAGACACAAGCGTTGTTTTCCCCTACTCACGGCCGCCGTTGATCCGTCAATGACCGAGGGACGATTTACCTTTGGAATGCATATGCATCAGCGACCACCGAACGGTCTCTGGAATGCGTTGCCATGTTTACACTATGTGCGACGCCACCTTGCTATATCATGAGCTCGAGAAGTCTCGAGACCTTGTTTGAGAGAGAAACCATCTCTTACTCACCTTAAACATTCCAAGATGCATCTTATCAGCAAAATTCTTTATGTCTGCGTCGCTTTACACGTCGCCTTTCAGGGCGCGTCCGGCGCAATTCTCCGGGGACGAACCAGCGATGCCGATTCTAACCAGCTTTCAGCAAGTGATTTTCAAACTCTGAGCCAGGCCGCCGAGGATCTGAACAGTCAGCTGGACAACTTTTTGAGAAACTGGAGCGGTGGTCACCGTAAACCCGAAACCGAGGAAACCACAACCATTGTCAAGCGGCAAACCAGTGGCCTCTCGATATCTGCGCAAGACCTTCAAGATCTTTTGAAGCTCATCCAGTCCATCGAGCGGCAGTTGGCGGCGATCATCTCTGGCAGCACCACGGCGAGCGGGACGGTGGCACCGGCTCCGTCAAACACTGTCAACAACCCTGGGCCGGTTGCTTCTTCGTCACCTGCCAATCCAGGTGTAAGTTCTCCTACCCCCAACCCCGTTCTAACGAACACAGGAAATGGCGGGCCGCTCACCACGGCATACGGGACGTCCGTCTCGACCGGGACGAGATGCGTAACGACCATCACTCAGACCTTTACCGAGTATGTCAATGAGGACGGAACGACAGCCGTGCCTGGGGCTCGCCGATCAGTCGTGGACGACGTCGAGGTGGATGCCGAAGAGGACGATGAGCCTTGGGCCACTGCCGCCGTGCCTCGGGACACTGAAGAAGACGATGAGTGGGAGCCCTGGGTCCAGTTCGACGGGACTACCACCGAGGAAGACGAGTCCGATGTGGGCTTCACGACGCGCGATTCCTGGACGGAGCTGGGTGTTAAGCGTCGTGATCCGCTGGGCGAGACCAGTGGCCCTGGGCTCCTCTTCGTTCGCGACGAAGAGGGAATTTGACGGTGTCGCATGGCGTCGAAAGGTAGGCTTGGTCACTCAAATGCGAAGATCGACTTGGCTCACAGCTCACAGTACATGATGATTGAGAGACCGTCCACGGACGACGTTGAGAATGGGCAACGACACATTATGATGGACGAATTTCGGATAATGATTTCC